AATAATAATAATAATGCATAGAACAAAAGTGAAATTACAAACAAAATTCCTCACTGATACAGATTTGAAATCCTGTCATTTGCGGCAACACAAATAAATCCAGAGGGCATTATATTAAGTGAAATACATCAGGCACAGAAAGATAAACACCTATATTCTCACTGGGTGGGATGGAAGAAACAGTGCTTTGATAGTGTAATTATATCTGCAATGACAAAAGTAAAAGAATGGATCGGCTCAGTCAAATAACCTGGGTAATAAAAATAAAGTCAGTTTGAACTGGACCATTTACTGACTTAACTCACCAGCTGTTGGACTTTTAAGGAATTATATGGTTTGATCCATTATAGATGTACTGCTCAGAGACAGAATTAAGTCAGGCAGATCAGGATCAAACTATCTCTGCCTTTGCCCAGGGCAATGAGATTCCAGACACATTGACTTGTTAACCACATCCCTCACTGGGGTTGTCATCATCCACCCAGACCTCAGAGCTCATTCCCGTAGGGACAACAGAGACAATCCCCAAGAAACCTTCACCTCAGAGGCCCAAAACAGACATAAGAACACCACAGTTTTTAATGGCTTAGTTCCATAGCTTGGAGTGTGTTAGCAAAAGCTAAATAAGTCCTTCTGTGCCAGGATGGCTCAGAGGACTTGATGAATCTGAGATCATTATTTTCACAGGATTTGGACCCTTAGTCTTAAAATAATGATTCTTGAGATGCTTCCTTCTAATTTGGGAGAAAACTGTGTTAATTATCAACTCATGTAAAATTAAAGTCTTCAGCCACCACCCAATATGCTCTTTCTACATCCAGAAAAGCTAATCACATACCAGAGATTAAGTCGTGTTTATTCTCTTACTCATTTCTCACTTCCAGTCAAATCCTAAATTCTGAAAATTCTATTCCCTAACATCTCCAAAATCCAATTCCTATTCTTCACTCACACTCTGGTTTTCTTAATTAAATTGTTACAACTTCTCTCTTGAGTTATTAAGGTGCTTTTCTTCTTCCCTGTTCAGAGATATACTTTACATTGCAGCAAATGATCTGCCTAAAATACACCCTACTTATGCCACTCTTTCCTAAATGCATTCATTTTCTCTCCATGTTAGGGAAAATAAAATCCAAGTTCCTCAACTTGGTATTAGGTTAGAAGAGTGTGCTCAACAACCTTGTTCTTGCCTGTGCCTCCATTATTTACCCATGGCAGTTCCCCATAAGAACCCTACAAACAAACATGTCAAACTACTGAACTCAAAATACCTTTCATCTCCTCTTTGACTAGCACAGTCTTCTTATTTTTTACACATAGCATTTCCTTCTCATTCTTTTCCTTTCTAACTTATTCACTCTTTAAGACTCAGAACAGACTTCATGTCCTATAGAAACACCCAAACTTTAATGATCAAGTCAAGTACCCACCTCATTCATTCCACACCACATTGTCAGCATCAGATTGCATTTTTCTTTAAGTCTTTAATATACATATCTCCATTGTCCCAGCATAGTATACTTGCTGACAGAAGAAAAAAGGAAGGGAGGGAGGGAGAGAGGGAGGGAGGGAGGAAGGAAGGAAGGAAGCCAGGAAGGAAACCAGGAAGGAAGCCAGGAAGGAAGAAAGCCTTTGCCTACCTGATTCAGGGGATTCTCCCTGCCTCAGCCTCCCAAGTAGCTGGGATTACAGGTGCCCACCACCACGACTGGCTGATTTTCGTATTTTTAATAGAAATGGGGTTTCACCATGTTGGTCAGCAAGGTCTCAAACTTCTGACCTCAAGTGATCAGCCTCCAAAAGTGCTGGGATTACAGGCATGAGCCACCACGTCCGGCCAGATTCAACATCATTTACAATCAATCTTACTCTACCTGCCTTCCATACACAAACTTTTTTTCAGACAGAAATACTTTTTTTATGTACTATTATTGTCTTTCTGTATTTCCCAAATACTTTTTAAAGAGCATCAGAATTTCACAATTTTATGTTCTAGTTCAATTCTCTGGTCAAATATTTTCTTACTATTCCATCTCTACCTTACTCTGTATTATATCAATACTTTGTCCAATTTTATTATAGTAGTATTCTATTTTCTTTCCAGTTGATGAGAATTTGGGGGGAGTACCTTTGAGTCAGTTTCCTAAGCCCCTATAGGGAAATCAGATTAACAAATTTTATCAAACTGTGAAATAAGCAATTCAAACTTAAGCTGTTGGAACTTTAAATTATTTTGAGCCTTAAGAGGAATGTGACTATGTGGCCTGAGTCGTAGCATACAGCTACAACTTCTGCTTTTTCCTGTAAATGATTAGGAAAGACTAAATCGTACCAGAGATAAGACTCCTCAAGACCGTTACCCCTTCTTGTGGAATGTTCATGTTAAACAATTTTCCTTGGCATGTAGCCAACTGAACATAATCAAATCACCATAATGTATTTATTGACTTTATATGAAAAATACTGTAACTCTGCTAAACTCCTCTGCTTCTGCCTAAATCAGTGAACTTTTAACTTTTCCACTTTGGAGTACTGACTAGATTTCTTTGGAGTCTGTGTTATTCAGGTGGCTAGTTCTCAAGTTTTGCCCTCAAATAAACTCTATATTTAATCGTATTTTCTGAATCTGATTATTTAAAGTTGACAAAACTAAAGCACATAAGTCAATGGTCAATTTGTAGATGGGTTAATTGATTCCTCTCCATACCCTGAAACTCCAAGTCGTCACTAACTGTATCCAAGATAAAGGTGTTATTGAATGAAAACGTCCACTGTTGCAGTGTCAGTGCTAGGACAAATGACACGGATCTGAGTGGTAGTGTACCCTAGGAGCTGTCAGTGGACAGCTCCTATAGCCATGTCAATTTCTTTGATTTCCTTGGAATTTCCAGGGTATTATATGCATTTAATAAATACTCCTTAACTTGATCCGTTGAAAAATTTATCACAGAAATAGCATTAATATAAAGGAAAAAACCACGTGGGAAATGATATTCACAGCTGTGGTCAGTACCCTCCTCCACATAAGCTGAAAATATACTCATTAGATATATGGGGGTGCTTTCCTGGCAGTTTTTATGCCACAGAAACTCAACCAGGAGAATTGGAGTAAAGAAAAGGACTGGTATTTGGATTAACAGACAAAATCTTTTTAATCTTTTATCTCTAGGATGATGCCCTTGGATGATTTTAAAAGAAAAGATTTTAAAAGAAAAACTTAAATTTTTTTATCAATAAAAAATAGCATTTGGCTACTAAATAGTCCAATAGTCCAAATTTAACCACATAGGACCTAAATGTGTAAGCAGTAATTAATGGAATGAAAAACTCCATGGGAAATGTTTGACAAATAATGAATGCCATCTTAGGTATTCAATTGCCTTGTAATTTAAGCAACTCCCTTAGCCTCCCTATGTTTTAGTCACATTATTTGCAAATAGGGTAAAGAATATCTACTTTTCGCATGTCCTATGATCATCTTTATTCAGGAAGATGACAGGAGCAACGGGTTTTGAAATGTTTTATGCAATAGTTCCAAAACACCTGTTTAAACAACTTTGAATTTTTTTCCATTTCTGTCTGGGTATTTTTGTTATCTCATAGATTTAACCTCTGTGATAGTCTATGGACACACTCTGCCCTATAATTCAAAAAGCCTGAACTGGTATTATCTACAAATAATGTGAAATCTGCACACTTACCCTGAATCGCCACCACACCCCCCAACCCACATTTATATTAGGGTGCAAAAGTAGGAAGCAAAGTCCTCTGAGAGTTTATGAGGGATCCTATCTACCTAATGTGAAAGAAGCAAGCAAAGGGTGTTGTCTACACATGGAAGAGAAGAACATTTTGCATCTTGCAGATAATAAATGGAAAAATACTGAAGCAGAATTTTACTAAAAACAAGATCTAAATAACAATTGCATAAGACCTACAAAAGAAGATTGCCCAATGCCTGTAGTACATGGGGGAAAAAAAGTAAGTATTACTGAGAGACCACCCACCTCATATTTAACACACCTTGTCTTACTTAATCTCTACTACAACCCTCTAAGGTGAGGAGTATGACCTCCATAATACACATGAAAAAGGCTAGGCTTTGAAAGTTAACTGGTGAGAAGATAAATCAGTTCCAAATCCAGATATGGATGATACTGTCTTTCCCATGCCTGGTGCACGGAATCATTCATACCCAGTTAAGGCAGCCATGGATTCAGAATGCTACAGGAAGAGTCCTGGGTAATGTGAGGAGCTGGATTTTTATTATCTCTAAAACAATGATTTCAAAATCTATCATCGGTAACACCTAGAGAGCTTTTTAAAAACAGAGATGCCTAGACCCACACCTGGCATCGTTGATTCAGGAAATTTGGAGAGTTCTCGGAAATTTGTGCCTTAAGCGTTCTGATGCACGATCAAGTTTTGGAAACACTGCTTTCAGTAACGCCCCATTCCAACATGCACTGATTTTACAAGATTGGTCATCAGAGTTATTTGTGGAAGTTGGGGATCAGTGATTAATTTGAGTATAGGACAGCTGTCTTTGAAGTAGAATATTTACAGCTGTTTAAAGTAACCTGTTAAAGAGAACAAAGTCATTCATTCTATCTGGATGTGTATCATTTGCTCTGTTCTTCGCAAAGGCTTGCATTCCTGACTAAAGTCAGCTCTTTTGTAGGTACTTTGGCTATGAGAAAAGGTCAAGGAGAAGATGCAAATAACTCTGAGCAAATTCGTCTTTTTCAAAAAGCAACTCAAAGGATATTCCCTACTCATACAGAACCAACCTGTATCCAGGACAGGGCACTATAACTTGACTGATGTTGACCCCTTTCTCTTTGAAAAACTGCCACAGAAGCAAATAAAAGGGCTTGAAGAAAAGGCCACTCATGTTGTCTCAATTTTTATTTGACATCCATGACATAATCTGCAGACTGCCCAGTGCCTTTGTGTGATTGAATTAGTTCTATAAGTTCTCAGCGGTTGTGGATAAATCAAAAAGATAAGGAAAGTGCAAGATACAGCAGAGATATCCTGAAGCAGGCACCTTCAAACAGAAGGAAACCACTTCACATCCAGAGGGCAGAGGACGGGGTGAAACTCGAAAGCATCTTCCCACCCACGTTCACTCTACTGCTTGAATATTAGTTCTCCACATGGCCACAGACACATCTAAGAGAATAACTCCAGTAAACTGTCTACATTACTAGAGTGTTCCCCTCACTGAGGCTTGCCAGTCCCTTTCTCCCACCCCAGAAGTTTCTTCATGGCCCCCTTCACATCTTTGTTCCTCAGAGTGTAGATGAGGGGGTTGATGCTGGGAGTGACAATGGTGTATCAGAGCAAGGTTTATAGTGCCAGCCCTACGCATTAACTCAAGTTTCCTTCCTCCCTGTTCCTATCTATTTCTCACCCACTTAATGCTGTAGTTGTTTAAAGTCAATCACTCATTACTGCAAGAGAGTCAGGAACTTCCCCTGATCTTGGGAGTAGCTGTTGGCTGGCTTCAGGTACACGTAGATGATGGTTCCGTAGAAGAGAGAGACCACTGTGAGGTGAGAAGAGCAGGTGTGGAAGGCTTTTTTCGCCCTGCTGCTGACTTCATCCTCAGCACCGCGGCCGCAATCACACCATAGGAGATGAGGATGAGGGAGAGGGGCACCAGGAGGAGAGCCATCCCCAGGGCAAAGGTGAGCGCTTCCATCAGCACGGTTTCCTCACAGGACATGGCAATGAGAGCAGGCATCTCACACAGGAAGTGGTCCATCCTGCGACGTCCACACCGTGAGAGCTGCATCGTCTGAGGACACATGATGAAGGAGTTTAGGAAGCCACAGCACCAGGCCACAGTCACCAGCTGCAGGAAGAGACGTGGGTGCATGACTGCCGTGTAGTACAGGGGCCGGCAGACGGCCACATAGCGGTCATAGGACATGACAACTAGGAGGATGCACTCGGTGGAGCCCAGCACCATGAAGATATAGAGTTGGGCCACACAGCCGTGGTAGGTGATGGTCTTCTCTGGACCCCACATGTTCCACAGCAGCTGAGGGGCAATGCTTGTTGTAAAGCAGAGGTCTAAGAAAGACAGGTTCCCAAGAAAGAAGTACATGGGTGTGTGGAGCCTGACATCCACGACCAGCAAGAGGATGATGGCAGTGTTGCCCACCAGGGTCAGGATGTAGAAGATCAAGATAACAGCAAAGAGAATTTTCTCCAGTCCAGGCCAATCAGAAAAGCCCACCAGGATGAATGCCTGTAGGTCACTGGCATTGTCCTTTCCCATAATCCACCAGCTATTACAGAGAAACAATGAAAGAATTAGATAAGGGGGCAGATGCAGATCATCTGGCACTCTCCAATTTCCATTTACAGGTCTGTGAAGTTAAGAGGGCCATTTGCCCTTTCTTTGCTTTTTTAGAATACACTTATTAAAACCTGTTACGTGCAAAGTCATGTGCCTGATGCCCCAGGAAGATGGGATGAATTGACTCTGGAGCTTCCCTCCTTGGTGAATAATGTGTATGAATAATGACAAAGAAGGGAGAAAGAGAAAGTTCTCTCAAAGAAGATTTGTTAAAAGGCTGAGTATTATGCAGATCACTCCCAAGTGACCAGGGGGGCCTGTGTGAACAGTTTGCATTAAGGGAGACTACTGAGTCTAAGAGTTTTTTTTTGGTTGTTCCAAATAATAAGTAAGAATTTGACATGTGGCAGATTGAGCTAAATATGTTTCACAAAGAGGAGGTAGTATATGCAAAGTCATGAAGGACCACATTTATGGATGATGCTTAGGGAAGCCATGAATGTACATACCAGGCAACTCCTTAATGGCATGTAATTTTATTAAGAAGAAACACAGTGATTTTTGACCCTACAAGAAAGGACTGAGATGATAGGTTTAATTCTGCCTCTGTAAAACACAGGTCTGCAAATGTATGGCCGGCTATCCAGTTCATCTCTCTCTAACTTGACTTCTCTTGTGCAACATGGGAAAGAGTTTAGATCTTCTCTAAGTCCCCACTCAGACCTCACATGTCTATGTAACTGGTGACACTGAGTTTATACCCTCAGCCCTTTCGGCTATTGATGATTTCCAGTCTAAGCCCAGAGCTTTGATGGGAACTCTGCCTTATACAGCCAATGTCCACCCAGGCTTGTATCCGCTGTGATAATAGCAAACAGCATCTGGGCAACACACAAGAAGAAAGCTGTGGGAATGAGGGCACAGAAATACGTTGAAGGACATGTGTCTATGCAGCCGCTGTCACCACCTGTCCATCCTGACAACTGACATGCTATGAGCTGTATCCTGTTGGAGCTGCAATTGGGAATTCGGTAGTTCCCATCCATTGGTCCAGGCACCGGACCCTCTGCAAAGCCCTATGAAAGGGTAAAAGGGTGCAGGGTCTATCAGAAGTAGCCAGCAAAGTATCAAAGAATGGAAGACTTTCAGAGGCTTCCTGAGTACTCACAAAGGAGACTCACAGACTCACATTTTACAGGTATTGGTTATTAAAAACAACTTGTAATTCTGTATCCTCAGACCCATCATAAGTTTTCTCCCAGGTTCAGAAGACCCCAAGAGTGGCAATGACAAGCTACACAAATTGCTCAGCAACTTCATCACTTTGGGTGATAAAGTTGTGATCACTTTGGGTGATCATAGCAAAGTTTATCACTTTGGCTCTGACTCCTTAGCCAAAACTGCAAGTTTACCTTGTAGTCATCTGTTCAAAACTACTTTTTTTCACAATGCTTTATTCTTTGAATCCAAAATGTCCCACTGCTAACCCTTATGACAAATATGCAGAGGCTCTTCTCTGTTTCACCTAACACGTATTCAACTATAAATTAATGCACCCTGTCTTCTCACGTTTCTTAGCTCTTTAGTTCAGAACCATGAAATTGCAAGGAATGCAGCTCTTAGAAATGCCCAAATACCTTTAGTAGTTCAGTTGACACATAATACTATAAATGTTTACTAATTTTGAAAACTTAGGCCCCAAGGTCTGAATTAGGTTGATTCTCTGGTTGAAGGTTATACCCAAAACTGTACCAACTCATGTAGAGGAGAATCCACCAAATGGTTCTCTGTGCTTACTGAACAGGATTTAACAATGCCAAGCAGTAGAACTATTTTTGCCTGGCTTAGGTATAGAGCACATCATAAACAATCACAACCCTTTCATATTACTATATATTAGACTTTTACAGAGCTTTCACACTCTAGTTTCAAACCATCATCACAGCAGCCCTGAAAGGTGGACAGGACAGGCATTAGAATCTCTATGTTAGAGATTATCAACCTCAATAACAGAGAAGAAGAAAGAATAGCCAATGCTTGCACTACAGCTTCATATCAGAGCAAGGTTTATAGTGCCAGCCCTACGCATTAACTCAAGTTTCCTTCCTCCCTGTTCCTATCTATTTCTCACCCACTTAATGCTGTAGTTGTTTAAAGTCAATCACTCATTACTGCACTCCCATTAACCTACACATTACAATCCTAACAATAAAATCCATCATCATGAGCCATTTTCAGAGAGAAACTTGCGATCACTCTAAAATTCGCCAGAGATTTGCAAAGCTTGATTTAAACAGAATCACATGGTTTTCTGTTCAAATCAGCTATCATTTTATCAAGAGACTAAAAAGATTGGTTTATTGTGTGTGCATGTAGGCTCAGAAGAGGCCCTAGGATTGGCTCAGCTAGCAATGGACAAATGGATAATGAGTAATCACATAATCACTCCTAATCTACTTTAGATTCACTTTGTTAGGATTTGGTGCATTTGATTGTTTCCGGGTTGGATACAATGTCTCTTTTCCAAAATTGAGTTCCAAATTATAAGTTGGCATTGAGAAACCCGTTACTCTGGTGTTCCAACAGATATAAACTCTAATCATAACTATTACAAAGATAACTCTATATCTGCATACAGAAGACTGAAGATACAGATATAAATCTCATTGCTATGACAAAGCTTGCATTAAAATCTCACCCTTGTTCTTCCCAGAAAGTAGAAGACCTATGATTCTGTCAACCCTCCTTACTTCAATTCCAGAGATCAACCAGGAGTTTTCTCATGGATAAGGCAGCTAATTCTGGTCCCTTTTAGTTTCCAGATCTTCCAGAGGAAATTCTAATGAAAACCCTGAAAGGAGATTGAGCACAAAAATAATGTCTGTCCCATTTAAGTGTTAATAAGCCTTTAAGTAGCAGAGCTTGGAAGAGAAATGATGAACTGTGGGCAGGAATGACAAGCTAAGTGAGTGGTATGGCATAGTGCCACATTTCAGGTCAACATGTTTTATCTCACGTCCATATATACAGGTAGTCTAGGGTTAAGGAGATGGCAGATCACCCCCAGGGATAAAGGAAAGCACACTTAGTTCTAAGAGCTTTGAGAATATAGACGATGTCATTTTATTGGTTCATACTAAGTGGATAAGAGGACAACTTTAATGTCATGTCACCTTGGGGATTTGGAATCATCTAGGAGCATGAGAAAAACTGACATCAGCTTGTTTACAGAGCTAAGACTTCAGAAACTGGTGTTGTCATCTAGAGATTGGCCCAGCGGGCCCCCCCAACCCCCCACAACACACACACACACAAACACAAAACTCACCGGGGAGGCAACACAGAAAGTTCCCAAACATGGGGCTCAGGTATTCTTGAAAAGAGAATTAATTTCTGGGTTCTATGTCAAAACAGAAGTAGATCAATTTCTTCATTTGGTCCTGGACTCACAAAATTAAAATCATGAAAATGTGGGGAGGCAAGCATCCCCAAAGAATGTACACCCTCCAGTATAAGAAAGAATGAGGTAAGGGGGACACTGATATAGGAAACTCTTGGGTTTGTTATTGCCACGTTAAGAGGCTACGGGAAACTTCAATTCTTCCCTCCATTCCAATTGGTGTATTAAGTCAAAATAGGAATCTCTTAAGAAGTAGCAGAAAATAGAATATCTCCAATTTTCTTGAATGTCAACTGTTAACCTTTATTGATTAAAAAAACTTTCATAGTTTGAAAAAAACCTTAATTTCTAATTTTACATAAGAAAAAATTAATTTCCAACTATACTGAGGTGACTGACTTACTCAAGGTCAAATAACTAGTAGCCACTGGCTGCCCAAACTGGAACCACCTCTCACCAATCATTTTATCTCTTATCCTTCCCATTACATTAAGCAAAATGCAACTGATACTATTGAGGTGGAGGGTAATTAGTAAAGAGATTCAAACTATGGTTTTTCAGGCTCCAAGTTAACATTTTAAGTTTTTTAAAATATATAATTGTGTTTTTACTGCATGGGATTCTGTCATTTCTAGAACTTTGAAAATGGCTATTTCTAGTCAAAATGAAAGAGAATTTTTGCATTTGGAGTTTAACACAACACCTTCTACAGTATTGATGTTTACAATTTGTTCCTTGATTCAGTATTTCCCTTTCCTGAAGGAGTGAATGAAGTCCATTAGGTTCACAGTGAAACAGGGATAAGGGATGAGAAATTACTTAATGGGTACAATGTACTCTATTTGGGTGATGGTTACAGCCAACACCTAGACTTTACCACTGTGCAATATATCCATGCAACAAAACTGCATTTGTACCCCTTACAGTTATACAATAAAAAACGTGTTTGTGACAATTGTCTCCCAAGCTGGGAGTGCATAAGCTCATCACCAGCTCCACCATGGTGGGGAAAAGTCATTGCAGCCAATAACTTGTTCATAAAGTAAAACTAAGCAGTTTCATCCTCTCTGAAGTTCTCTGAATGATGGTGATAATAGTTAACATTGGAAGACTGGAACAAAATAATGGTTTTCGTTGTAGAAAAAGTACAGTTCAAGAAAAACTGTACTGTGAAATACAGTATTTCATAAAGATACCATAAAGTTGCCCCAATGGCAAGAAAATAAATATCTATCCACCTAAAGAACTTCTCAATTTTCCACTGAAGTGATGTGTTTAATGTTTAAAGTATACTGCTTCACAAGTTTGTTTGTTTGTTTTTTTCAAAAAAAAACCTGTTTATTTCAGTCAATTCAAGAAAATGTCAGTAAAACTGATTATTTGGCATTATGTTGGTAGATTTTTTAAACTTATAAAATATTTTGGATATATAGATACATACACAAAATAAGATAACAATGGATAGACTAACCACCACTCAGCTTTATGACATTTTAACATCTGCGTTACGTGTTCCAGGTCTTTTATGAAATAAAACATAGGTATATTCAAGGATCCTGAGAACATATTATTTCCCTCT